GTCATTGTTGTTTGGCGGGTCCGGGCTGGGGATTCGAACCCACCACCTTAGGTGTACGTGGCTGGCGCCTTAGCCAGTTGAGCTATAGGCGCTGAGCCGCATTTAACATTTCTGAGCCACATTTCTGTCCTCTACAAAATGGGAACAATGACAGATGTAACAGTATGTAACTCACAGGGTTATTGTGAAAATTAAATAAGTGCTCACTGAACCAGGGCGGCGCCTGTGACTCAGTGGGTAGGGCGCCGGGCCCATATACGGAGGGTGGCAGGTTTGAACCTGGCTCTGGCCAAACTGCAACAACCAAAAAAGAAATAGCTAAGCCTTGTGGCAGGTGCCTATAGTCCCAGCTACTTGGGAAGCTGAGGCAAAATAATTGCCTAAGCGCAGGAGTTGGAGGTTGCTGTGAACTGTGATGCCAAGGCACTCTACTGAGGGCGATAAAGTGAAACTCTGGCTCTAAAAGAGTTACTGAATTGATACTATTCTTCAGACAGCGGTGGAAGGTGTATTTGGTAGAAAGCATATTAGAGACAGCAGGGAGATGGCACAGCAGGCTTTCGAGGCAGGCTCACTTAACTTCTGACTCCACTTCTCTGACATTTCTACACTGAAAGTTAGCAACGCCCCTTTTTTTTTCTTTGAGACAGAGTCTTACTCCGTCACCCAGGCTACAGTGCCGAGGTAGCTCACAGCAACCTCAAGGTCAAGCGATCCTCCCACCTTGGCCTCCCAGAGCACTAGGATTACAGGCATGAGCCACCACGCCCAGCCTGCAATAAATACTCTTCTTCAGTAATCTCTGTAACTTCCTGGAAACAATGGCGGGGTGGTGGGCAGCGCCTGTGGCTCAAAGGAGTAGGGCGCTGGCCCCATACACCGGAGGTAGTGGGTTCAAACCCGGCCCCGGCCAAAAACTGCAAAACAAACAACAACAACAAAAACAATGGAGTGGTAGAGAAAACAGCGAGGTTGGGGGTAGGTGTCCAGGCTCTTCAACCTTGGGTAAGTCAATTTTTCTTAACTTTGGCTCTCCCACCTGTAATGTGGGCATGTCACCGTGTCCCAGGGTTGATGGGAGAAAACTCATGCAAATCGAACCTGGCAAAGGTTAGGCGCCCGGCAGGCTCGCAACGACTGCTAATGGGCCAACGGCTCCCGCCTCCTCGGCCCTGGTCCCGGCCCCCGCCCGACTCCGACGCCCACCTTCCTCCCTGGGCGGGACCCCGCCCGCGGCCCCGGCCTCGAAGTCGTCCAGTTGCCGCAACAGGTCATGGCGGCGCAGGGAGCCGAGCAGCTCGCGAAGCAGCTCGGTGCGATCGGGTTCCAGGTCGTTCTGCTCCAAAAGCACCGAGAAGAGGTCGAGGCCGCTCTGCACGCGCTCCAGCTTCTTCTTGCCCACGCGCCTGGAGCATAGAAACTTGAGCTCGGTTAGCTCGCTGCTCGACAGGCTGGCCGACAACGAGTGCAGCAGTACCAGGAAGGGGTCCATGGCGGTGACCGCGGCCTGCGGGCTGGCGGGGCTCCGACCTGGTGCTCTTCGCGGGCCCGCCACTCACGGCTGGGCGCCACTAGTCGGGTCTTGCCACTAGTTTCCCGGCCGGCGGCCCAGCGGTCCCCAACTCTGGTCGCTTCCGTCCCCTAGCCGAAGCCCTACTACCGGAAGTCCGCTGATGAACTTTCTCGCTCCGGAATCTGCGCATGCGTCCAGAGCGCATTCGTAGTCATTTCCGCCCCGGCTGCGGCGCTGCTGGTGGGGGCCGTCTCTGCGCCTGCGTCTGGCGGTTCCTCTTCCTTTAAGTGGGAACGTGGTAGTCTAGGGGGTCCTGAGAACCCCACAACGGCTCTGTTCTCTGCGGCTAGGGCGGCCCCCGCCTCTACTGAGCTTGCTCTCCTGCAAAGCTCAGTGCAGCCCTGCTGTGTGCAGGGTCAGTGCGGGGCTGGGAGGGCAGCGGTGGCGCCTGCCGTTCCCAGATGCCATTAAATCGCATATGCTAATAGCAGGTGTTATTTATACCTTAACATTTACACATAAACGTGGGACACGTGTTCCTTACTGCTCCCTTTGTGCAGAAAACAGGTTTAATTTGTTTATTTTATTTTTTTCAGTTTTTGGCCGGGGCTGGGTTTGAACCCACCACCTCCTGTGTATGGGGCCGGCGCCCTACTCCTTTGAGCCAAAGGCACCACCCTTTATTTTGGTTTTAAATTGTATTTTAAAACCAACCAACAGTCATATGTTCAAGATCCGTTTATTGAGCGCCTACCGTGTTACCGTGTGCCAGGACGTAGGTGCTGGGGACAAATTAGTGAACACGTAAGGTCCCCGCTGACCCGCGGTTTACATCCTAAGTGCGTAAGTTCACATGCTGCAAACAGGAAAAGCGCATCTTATGCTGGAAATTTAGAGAGTCAGGGAAAAGTACCACCCGGGTGGGAGCAAAGGGTGGAGCCAGAAACTGCAGCAGTGCGAGGTGCAGGGGGCAGGTGTGTGGGTGTAGGGGTAAGAATCTGCCAGGCAGAGGGGACAGAGAGCGCAGGCGGGGCTAGGGGGTGGAGGTTGAGATTCCAGGAGCAGCAAGACCGATGGTGGGAGATCGGGAGGCGGTCAGAGGGCGCAGACAAGGAAAGGATCCGGGTGTACTGCAGTGTGGGGTGATGCCACCTAAGTTACCTTAAACTTTTTAAAATCGAGGTATAGTCCACATATCAACAGCTCATCCTTTTAAGGTGTAGAATTCAGTGGTTTTTAGAATAGTCACAAAGTTTTGCAACCCTCACCACTATGTAATTTTAGACCGTTTTCATTAGCCCAAGAATTTGCTCCCATCCCCCACTAATCTGTCTCTATGGATTTACCTCTTCTGGACACTTCCTATTAATGGAAACGTACCCTATTTGTCCTTTTGTGTCTGGCTTCTTTCTTTCGGCCGACTGTTTCAGCTGCCCATCCATGTAGTGACGTATTTAAGTATTTCGTTACTTTTTATGGTGGAATAACATTCCATTCTATGGATAGGCCACAGTTTGTCCATTCTTCAGTGGAGGCACATTCCTTTAGCTTAGTCTTTTTGGTTATTATGAATAATGAATAATACTGTTATGAACACTAAGACTTTTAAGACTCTGGATGCTGGTTAGACTCCAGGAGATTGCAAGGGGAGTCCTTGGACCACAGGGCAAGCAGTGTGGGAGAAGGGCGAAGACTTTAGATTTGGACTTGTGCTTAAACGAGAGAAATGAGGATGCCTTGTAAGGTTTGGAGGGTGGAGGGTCCATTGACTGAGCCAGGGGAGGTGTGGGTGGGTGTGTTTGGGGGAGAGGGAGGGGCCGAATGGGGATCTGTTGAGTGTGAGATGCATTTTAGGTGCATGGGGTGAGGGACTAGGTCAGGAGATGTGAATTTGAGCGTGAGCTGCAGGTAGCTGGTGTTTAAATCACCCATAGAATGAGGTCACCTATGGAGGAGACAGAAAAGATGACAAATGGGTGAGCTTGGGGCTGGGAGAAAAGCCTCCAGGAAGTGGGAGGTGAACCAAGGAACATTAACCCACACTCTCCGTCCACTTTACCTTGCTGAAGGTTTTTTTTTGTCACTTGCACATGACACCTGAGGTCCAGGGCGTGTCATTCTCCTATATTACTTTGTTTTTTGTCTGTGTTTCTTGCCAGAAGGTAAGCTCTTTGAGGGCAGGCGCTCCAAGCACCCTGAACAGTGAATGAATTTTATGCGCGGGATGATTAATTTACGTGTGTGACTGCAGTTATACCTGTCTAATCCACTACCTCTGAGTCTGTCACTTGTCCTTTCATCCTTTTTTTTTTTTAAGCCTGTAATTCTAGCACTCTGGGAGTCCAAGGTGGGTAGATTACCTGAGCCCAGGAGTTTGAGACCATCCTGAGCCAGAGCAAGACCTCGTCTCTAAAATAGTTGGGTGTTGTGTTGGGCGCCTGTCATGCCAGCTACTCAGGAGGCTGAGGCAAGAGAATTGAGCCCAAGAGTGTGAGGTTGCCATGAGTATGACTCCACAGCACTCTACCAAGGGTGAAAAAGCGAGACTCTGTCTCAAAAAAAGAAAAAAAAAAGTAAAGAAAGAAAGAAACAGGGTCTCAGGCTGGAGTACAGTGGCACAATTATAGCTCACTGCAGTCTCAGCCTTCAACTTCTGGGCTCTAACGATCCTCCCACTTCAGCCTCCTGAGTACCTGGGATTATAGGTGTGTACCATCATGCCTGGCTAACTTTTTTATGTCCAATGTTCACAGGGCCTATTCATGGTGACAGGGTGGCCAGTCAGGTTCTTGTGTTGTGTCCCTGTACTGGTTCCCTGAGTGACCCTCTGTGGGAGCATAGGATTCTAGTCAGGCCTTCCCCAAGGACCTCTTGGTGGAGGTAGATGTGAAACAGCGGGTGAGAAAGTGGCTCCAGCCCTCACATGACACCTCACAGTGCAGGACACTGGAAGCTGAGCCCAATTGTGGCCTCACAGCTGCTGAGGAAGACAGGAGCCCCCTCAAGCCCCTTCTCTTCCCATCAGAGCCCCCATCTCCCAGCTTCCGGAGCACACAGGGACCAAATCTCTGTGTTGTGTTGAGTCACAGCAGAGTTGAGTGGTGAGTCCCTACCTCATTGTGGAGCCCAGCGGCTAAGGCCCCTCCTCAGCTGGGCCTTATAGGCCAGACCTCCACCACGGCTCTTGGGACTCTCCCTGGTTATGGGGAGAAACCTCCATCTTGCATCTTCTGGAAGATTCTTCTTGAGACAAGATGGTGTCCGGGCTCAGAGGTTACAGCCTTGAGTAGCGGCTTCGATTCTTGGGCGCCCCCATGCCCCCAGGGCAGCCTGCTATGCCTGCTGGGTAGGAGTCAAGCCCAGCCACCTTCATTTGGAAGCTGTGACCACCCTAGTGCAGGCTAGGAGGGGGGCAGGGCTGCCAAGGTGTGTGGACCCTGCATCCGCCCCCCCCTCCAGGAAAAAGGGCGTGGGAGTGATGATAAGGATCATCTGGTCCCCGAGTTAACCTACCTGGACTTTGATAGTTCATGTTTTTTTTTTTTTTTTTTTAATAGTGGTACAATGCCATAACATTTACTGTTTTCTGGCTCGGCGCCTATAGCTCAACCAGCTAAGGCACCAGCCACGTACACCTAAGGTGGCGGGTTCGAATCCCCAGCCGGGACCCGCCAAACAACAATGACGGCTGCAACCAAAAAAATAGCCAGGCGTTGTGGCGGGTGCCTGTGGTCCCAGCTACTTGGGAGGCGGAGGCAGGAGACTTGCTTGAGCCCAGGAGTTGGAGGTTGCTGTGAGCTGTAATGCCACGGCACTCTGCCCAGGGGGACAGCTTGAGGCTCTGTCTCAAAAAAAAAAAAAAAACATTGACCATTTCCACTGTTTTAAGTCAGCAGTTCAGTACCACTGAGTACTTTGACATTGTTTTACAACCATCACCATCGTCCGTCTTCAGAACTCTTTTCATCTTTCAAAATGGGATCTCTACGCCATAACTTCCAGTCCCCCTCAACCCGCTCCTGGCAACCACCATTCTGTGCCTGTGAATCTCTAATACTGGGGACCTCACTTAAGTGGAAGCATGCTGCCAGTGGTTATTCACTATGCCCTCCTTGTCGCCACTTGCTGAGGCCCGGGACTGGCCAGGTCTCCACCTGGGCTTATCTATTGTCTGGAGCAGAGGCTGTGCTACCTTGCTGGGGACCAATTACCCTTAGGTGCCTGAGGGTTATTCATGTTAGCAGAAGGGAGAGAGAGGAAGGCAGTCTTGGAGGGAGAGAACCAGTCTTAATAGGATAGTAAATCTTAGTAGTCTTCTTGGAGAGACGCTGGACAGACGCCCTGCAGGCAGGAGAAGTGAAAGAGTCAGAGTGAGTGAGTCGTGAAAGAATACGCCAGCAGTTCAGTACCATTGAGTACTTTGACATTGTTTAAAATGTCATGCACGCTCCCTGACGGCTCCTACAGCTTCTTATAGACGTGATCCTGTGGCTATTTGCATCACAGGTGTAGAGACTGCCAAGCACTGATGTTCTCATCTCGTGGGCTCTTGTGTTAAGGAGAGCCGAATCCCTTCCCCATGCCTTTATCACCAAGGTGTTTTATTACCGAGATGTTACCAGTGTTATAATTACAGATTGTTCCGAGCTTAACTCTCGCTTCTCCTTCCCATAAGCTGTATGGTCCGCTACGTCATGCACTATTTGACCTTCTGTGACACCATAATGTTCTCAAATGTTCACCCATATTGTGGCAAATGTCATAGTTTCCTGCCTTCTAAAGGGTGAATTGTATTCCATCGTATGGCTGGGTCAGATTGCATTTGTCTGTTTGTCTGGTGGTAGGCACTTGGGTTGCTTCCATTTTTAGCTGCTGTGAACAGGAGTGTACAAATATTTGAATTCTCAGTTTCTTTTTTTTTTTTTTTAGACAGAGCTTCAAGCTATCCCCCTGGGTAGAGTGCTGTGGCTTCAAAGCTCACAGCAACTTCCAACTCCTGGGCTCAAGCGAGTCTCCTGCCTTAGCCTCCTAAGTAGCTGGGACCATAGGCGCCCACCACAATGCCCAGTTATTTTTTGGTTGCAGCCGTCATTGTTGTTTGGCGGGCCCAGGCTGGATTCAGACCTGC